CTTTCATTTCTGACATCCAGATAGCCTGTGACCCAAATTGCCCAATGCCGTACTCCCTAATAATAAGTGTAACAGCTACCTGCTGGCATTGCCTGGCAGGCTCTGTGCCAATCATTAAACATGCATTATCACACATGAAAGTTCATAGCAGCTGTATTCACGATAGACAAAAGGTAGAAAGAACCCCAATGTTCATCAACAGATGCATGAATAAACAAAATGTGGTATACCCATGTAATGGAATATTATTTAATCATAAAAATGAATGAAATAAGATACATGCTACACCATGGAAGAACCTTGAAAGCCAGACACAAAAGCTGCATATTGTCTCATTTGATTTGTATGAAATGTCCAGAAGAGGGAATACATTAGAGACAGAGAGTAGGTTAGTGGTTGCCTAGGCTGGGGGGTAGTTTGGGGGAGGGAAAGGGGCTAATGGAGAATGACTGCTGATGGGTACAGGTTTCCTTAGGGGGTATAAAAGTGTATCTTTTTGTTTCAAAGTCTTTTTAAAACTTTTTAAAATTTATTGATTGATTGTTTTAGAGAGAGAGAGAGAGAGAGAGAGAGGAAGGGAGCAAGGGACAGAGGAAGAGAGAGAGAAACATCGATTTTGTTGTTCCACTTATTTATGCATTCATTGCTTGATTCTTGTATGTGCCATGACTGGGCATCGAACCCACAACCCTGGCATATCAGGATGATGCTCTAGCCAACTGAACTACCTGGCCAGGGCCTAATTTTAAACCCTTTTAAGGACTTTACCACAAAATAACCAGTCAACCTCTGTGTGATACCAAAGGGAGAAAGGGAGTGTCATTCTTTGCCTTGTTACAAAACACTGTGAAGGTTCTAGTGTATATCAAAAGTCTAATTTTTATGCCATATTGATGAACCCTATTGCACTTTGCATCTGTCAGACTTCGCTATCTTTGCTGTAATAGCTTGCCAATATTGTCAGTGAATTTACCTTGAAATCCACCCCCATCTTTTGAAAACTTGTTATCAAACCAGTACTTCATAGTGTGTTTCCTATTTTTTCTATAAGACAATTAAAAAATTATACCAGTCATTTTGTTCACACTATGTCTTCTCCTTTACATCATTCCTTTAGTAGCCCATAAGAAAGTAGTTCTTTGTGGATTTTATTATTAAAATGGAATCTAGCAAATACAAAGCTGAACATATTAGAAACATTGTATCCAGCTGTATATCAAATTTCCCACATTATATCATGTATTCTAATACTGTTTGTTCAAGTCTTCAGCAGTATTTTCTAGATGCCTTCCAGTAGTATTTGCTGACAAAGGAACGGATTTTAGTTTATCACAATATTGTTTCACATGGATTTATTTTGACCATTTTTACCATGATAAGAAAATGTTTTCCCAAAGGGATTTGTGAAATTTTGTTTTTATTCATTTAGTAAGAAACTCCAAATGAAGCTTTAAACACATGTCTTGACATTTAGTGAGATTTAATAAAGTACTACATTGAAAATCACATGATGTTCAATATTACTGAAAAATAGTAGATGTTTATCTTTATGTTCTGCATGCTTAGTTTTTAATGTGAATGTAAAAAATTACAACATACATACAGAAAAATGCACAAATCAATGTGTGCAGCTTGACAAATTTTTACATATTGAACATATTTGTGTAACCAGCGCCCAGGTCAAGAATCAGAATATCACAGCACTCAGAAGTCTCCTGTGCAACTTCCCCTCTTTTTTTCTTTTTTTTTTTTCAGAGAGAGAGAGAGAGAGAGAGAGAGAGAGTAAGGGAGGGAGAGAGGGAGAGAAGCACCAATATGAGAAGCATCAATTGTTTGCCCCTCAAACATGTCTCAGCCAAGGACCAAACCCACAACTTAGGCATGTGCCCTGACTGGGAGTTGAACTGGTGAGCTTTTTCCTTTGGGACGTCGCCCAACCAACTAAGCTACACCGGTCAGGGTACATCCCCACTCTTTCATTACCCCTTCTGTTCCTATTGCTGTGTAACAAATCACCCCAAAACTTAGTGGCAAAAAATAACAATTTTACTGTGCTGATGGATTCCGTAGGTCAAGAATTCAGTCAGGGCACATGCGGATGGCTCGTTTCTGCTCTAGGATATCTGGAGCACTGGCTGGGAGGAGAAAACATGATGGCTGGGCCTTAGTGCACACCTGGGGCCTCGATTCATCTGGGGATGTCTCTTCTCATGTCTGTCATTCCATGATGGCTGTTGCCAGGGACATCAAGCTGGGGTTGCTGTCCTGAATACTTATAGGTGGCTTCTCTCTGTCGTGTGTGACCTAACTTTGGAAGATGGGCAGTGTCACTTCCACCATACTCTGCTGGTCTCTCAGACTCAAGGGAAGGGAACATGAACTCATCTCAAAAGGAAGAGTGTCAAGGAATTTCCAGACTTGTTTCAAAATTGCCATGAAAAGTAACCACCACCTTAGCTACTACCATAGATCGTTAAGCATCCATTTTGAGGATGCTTAGATCTTAAAGATCTCGTTAATCATGATTGCTTTATATTATTATTATTATTAACTAATTTAGAGTATCTACTTAAAGTGAGTGTGTTATTAACAAAGTGGATGTGAACCATACTTTAATAGGTTTTTTGAAATCTTACTTTTCTTTCTTTTTTGTGGCTTTTTACGTATCAGCAGCTTATTCATTGTTGCTTTTACTTTAGAATGGGGCTGATGAAAAGCTCATACCAGCAACGGGAGATTAATCATTTCTACCATTTTCTTATTGGCCACTTGTCCTTGTATTCTTCATATTATCTTCATTCAGGCTGTGGTTTATTTGTAGGAAACTTTTCAAGCCACTTTTCCATTTGTGGAGGATTGGTTTAGTTAAAACCAGATGTTATAATCCGTAAATTCACAACCCAACACAGAAATCGCATCCTTTTGGAATGGGCTAAAAATAAAATGAAAGAAGATGGGTCGCGCTATCAACCCTTCAGTGCTGTGCAATTCCCACTCCTCCTTCAGGATGTCCATCAGCGACCATCTGACAAATAGACCTAATAAGATTGCTGGTGTCACTCCATGTCTTGAATACATTACGGTTTAATTTCTTTTATCTTTTTGTTACAAAATATGTATTTGTTAATTTTTAAAAAGATTTTATTTATTTATTTTTAGAGAGGAGAAGAGAAGGAGAAAGAGAGGGAAACATCAATGTGTGGTTGCCTCTCAAGTGCCCCTACTGGGGACCTGGCCCACAACCCAGACATGTGCCCTGACTGGGAATTGAAATGGCAACTCTTTGGTTCCCAGGCCGGCGCTCAGTCTACTGAGACACACCAGTCAAGGCTGTTACAAAATACATTTAAATAGAAGTTCTAATTTTTGCTTCACATACTTCAATAAACCATCTTGCACACCCTACTTTGGAGACAACTGGTTAATTGCATTAGTTGCATTTTACAAAGGAGACAACTGAGGTAATGACAAGCGAAGAAACTTCCTCAAGGATACATAGCTAGTATGTGATGGAGACAGTACTGAATCAGGTCTGTTTGACTGCAGTGCCCATGCTCCCTTTATTATGACCAAAAACTTCTCACTGATTCAGAGACAAACAGTTTCTGGTTTCAGCCAGCAAAATGAGGGGAGGCTGCTGAATCTTATTCTCCCAGCTGAGGACACGTTTTTCTCTGAATGGTCTACGGTAGAGTAGGAGTTAGGACTAGAGGGAGCACGTGGACATAATTGGAATCTAACTACCAGTGACTGGACACTTACTAGGTACAAGACAGACACGGGGCTGAGCACTGGATCCTTCCCACAGCCTTATGAGGTAGCTATGAGTGTTATTTCCATTTTACAGATGATGAAATGGAGCAGGTGGCCATGCTGTCATTCCAAGTCAAAAATGGAAAGACTCCTAAATCTGGAATGCATTGTCTTGCTTCTAGCCCATCTGCCTCATAGACGGCATTGTTATAGTTAGCGCACAGTAAGTTAGCCATGTGCCAGGCACTGTACCAGCTGCTCTCCATGTATTATATCATTTAATTCTCACAACAGAATCACAAGAAAGGTACTACAATACTTTATTCGTGGTTTCACCTTCCATGATTTCAGTTACTCAGTCAATCATGGTCCAGAAATATTAAATGGGTAATTCCAGAAATAAGCAATTCACTTGCTTTAAATTGTGCACTCTTCTGAGTAGTGTGATGAAATTCTTGCCATCTCACTATGTGCCACCTAGGACGTGAATCATCCCTTTGTTCCGTGTATTCACATTGCATGCACTACCCAACACCTAGTCACTTAGTAGCCCTCTTGCTTGTCAGAGAGAGGGACAGAGAAAGGGGCACATTCACATAATTTGTTACAGTATATTGTTATTTAATTGTTTTACTTTATTATTAGTTATTGTTTTTGATCTCATACTGTGCTTAATTATGAATTAAACTTTATCATAGGTATGTATGTATGTATGGGAAGAAAGCACAGAATATATAGGGTTCAGTACTATGCACGGTTTCGGGCATCCACAAAGGGACTTGGAACATATCCCTACTGAATAAGGTGGGGGCTACTGTATTAGACATTATCCTCATTTTATAGATGCGGAAACTGAGGCTAAGAGAGGTTAGGTAACTTACTCAAGGTCACCTGGCTGCTAGCAAGTGGCAGATCTTCCACTAGTCTCGTATCTCTTCCATCATTTTTTTGGGTGGGAGATGGACAGAACTTCAGCAGAGCCAGTCTTTCTTAAGGAGTCCACTATCCATGCTGTCAGCATCTCCCCACTGAGCAGATGGAGTCCAGATAGGCCTGGAACGGTGCCAGCCTATGGACTGGTGCCAGCCCAACAAGGTAAGAAAAGAAATTGAATGTTTAGAAATGTTTATAGAAATTTGATATTGCTGCAGCATCCAAGTGAATGATTCACTTTTTTTTATTTTACAAAAGTCTGTGTTCATGACAGATTGGACATTTAGAAAAGAAATAACCTCCTTTTCATGAAGATGGAGCTGAAAATGAAGGAGGAAGCCCCTGCTCCTCCCAAAGCCGAAGCCAAAGCAAAGGCTTTGAAGGCAAAGAAAGCAGTGCTGAAGGGTGACTGCAGCCATCAAAAAAAAGAAGATCCCCATATCTCACATTCCTATGGCCAAAGAGTCTGCAGCTCTGAAGGCAGCCTAAATATCCTCAGAAGAGCACCCCAGGAGAAACAAGCTTGACCACTGTACCATCATCAAGTTCCCTCTGGCTACTGGGTCAGCCGTAAAGAAAGCCGTAGAGGACAGCAGTACGCTTGTGTTCACTGTGAAGGTCAAGGCCAACAAGTACCAGATCAAACAGGCTGTGAAGAAGCTGTATGACATTGACATGGCCAAGGTCAGCACCCTGATCAGGCTTGATGGGGAGAAGAAGGCATATGTTGCCAGCAAAATTGGGATTATCTAAACTGAGTCCAGCTGGCTAATTCTAGGAATAAAAATTTTTCACTGTTAAAAAAAAAAAAAAAAGAAATAACCTATCATTTACCAGAGAGAGTTTGGGAAGCACTGGTATAGACAAATCCTGTCTACTATCCATGCCCATGATCTGTCATTTTGAGGGCAACAGTGGTTGACTCCAAACCAGAGGAGTGGGGAGCTGGTTTCCAAAGGATTATGGGAATGACTTGATTCACCCGAACTTGAACCTGATGCTGAGGGTTTGTGAAGGCAATAAAGGCCTGATCTTATTCCTCTTGGGAAGTCTCCAAGAAGAATGATAAAGTTGGCTTTAAATGATAATGATGCTGGCTTCTTTTTTTTTTAAGATTTTAAAAAATTTATTTTTAGAGCGAGGAAGGGAAGGAGAAGAGAGGAAGAGAAACATTAATGTGTGGTTACCTTTCATGCGCTCCCTACTGGGGGCCTGGCCTGTAACCCAGGCGTGTGCCCCGACTGGGAATTGAACCAATGACTCTTTGGTTTGCAGGCCAGCACTCAATCCACTGAGCCACACCAGTCAGGGTGATGCTGGCTTCTAAGACCCAGTGTCAGCTTTATTTCAAGGGCTTCCAACCAACCGTCCATCAACAGAGGGCATCATTGTGCTGTCTTCTCCATCCAGAGATGCCACTGCTGTTCCTCAGTTTCAGTAGGCTTTGCCTTCTTTCCAGATACAGCTGGACATGACCCAGTTAACTGCTGTGGGACAGGACAGACAGGGAGGAGTGGGAAGTGCAACTAGATTATAAAGTGAGTTTTAGGGGGCTAAGCTAAAGGTCTAGGCAGGTGACCAGACTCTAGTTTTTCCCTTCTGCCTCCTGCCGGGGCAAATACTACTTATTCCAGCTCTGCTTCCTCTAGGCAGCTCTGCTGGACTACTCTAAACCTCATCATTTTCTCCTTCACAGAATCCTTGCAGTCTGTAACACCCACCCCAACGCTTTGTCATAGAGTATCCTGAATGGCTCTCAGAGACTATGTGTTAATTTCTCACCTAGGTTAAAAGTCCCCAAAACTGGCAGCTTCAACCTGCGTCTCCGCTAGTTGCCTTCCTCCTGAGTATTGGCTTCTCGCCTTCCTCCCTGAACAGCATGAGCTTCAGCACACACTCCAGCTTCTCCACGAGCTACCGGACCCTGGGCTCCGTGCAGTCACCCAGCCGCTGGGTCTGGCCGGTCAGCAGCGCGGCCAGTGTCTATGCAGGCATCGGGGGCTCAGGCTCCCGGATCTCGGTGTCCCGCTCCACCAGCGTGCAGGGTGGCTGGGGATCTGGAGGCCTGGCTGCAGGGATGGCGGGGCGGTGGGGGGTGTCTCGTGGACATAGGGTTCATCCAGAGCAAGAAGGAGACTATGCAATGCCTGAATGACCGCTTGGCCTCCTACCTGGAGAGGCTGAGAAGCCTGGAGGCTGATAACCAGACACTGGAGATCAAAATCTGGGAACACCTAGAGAAGAAGGGACCCCAGGTCAGAGACTCGGGGCATTATTTCAAGACCATTGTGGACCTGAGAGCTCAGATCTTTGCACATTCTGTGGACAATGCCCGTATCATTCTGCAGATTGACAGTGCCCGCCTTGCCGCTGATGACTTCAGAGTCAAGTATGAGAAAGAGCTGGCTGTGCACCATCTGTGGAGCATGACATCAGGAGGCTCCAAAAGGTCATTGATGACACCAATATCACTCTCCTGCAGCTGGAGACAGAGATCGAGGCTCTCAAGGAGAAGTCGCTCTTCATGAAGAAGAACCATGAGGAGGAAGTAAATAGTCTACAAAACCAGATTGCCAGCTCTGGGTTGACCGTGGAGTTGGATGCCCCTAAATCTCAGGACATGGGCAAAATCATGGCGGAACTCCGGGCCCAATATGACAAGCTGGCTCGGAAGAACCAAGAGGAGCTAGACAAGTACTGGTCCCATCAGACTGAGGGGAGCGCCACAGTGGTCACCACACAGACTGCTGAGATAGGTGCTGCTGAAGTGACACTCACAGAGCTGAGACGTATGGTCCAGTCCTTGGAGACTGACCTGGACTCAATGAGAAATCTGAAGGTCAGTTTGGAGAACAGCCTGAGGGAGGCAGAGATGCGCTATGCTGTGCAGAGGGCACAACTCAATGGGATCCTGCTGCGCCTGGAGGCAGCGCTGGCTCAGACCCGGGCAGAGGGGCAGCGCCAGGCCCAGGAGTACGAGGCCCTGCTGCACATCAAGGTCAAGCTGGAGGCTGAGATTGCCACCTACCGCCACCTACTGGAAGAAGGGGAGGACTTCAATCCTGTTGATGCCCTGGACAAGAGCCACTCCTTACAAACCATCCAAAAGACCACAGCCCGCAAGATTGTAGACGGCAAAGTGGTGTCTGAGGTCAATGACACCAAAGTTTTGAGGCATGAAAAGCAGCAAAAGTGGGGCATCCCTTGGCGGGGCAGGAGGCCAATAAAAAGTTCAGAGTTCATTAAACGTTCCTTTGCATCTTAAAAAGAAAAAAAAGTCCCCAAAACAAACACAGGGGAAAAGAGAAGGATTGAGCAGCCAGAGCTGATGCATTAAGGATGCCCCCAGGTAGAGTCTCAGGGTGCTGGGCTGGGGCTGCTGATAGCCTTCTGGCCTAGAACCCGGGGCAGGGCTGAGGTTGTAGCAAAAGGGTTGGTTGATCCTCAGACAGTGGCTCCAGTCATGGAGGGGAGAGGAGCAGAGTCTGGGAACCAGGCAGGACTTAAGCCCACATTGTTCCTTCACCTGGACCCCAAAGCCCTTCATAATCCGACCCCATCATAATGCTAACAGTTTGCATCTGGTGGAGACTTTTTATGTGCCAGTCACTACTCCAAGTTTACATGTATTAACTCATTGAGTCCTCAAACTAACTTTATGAGTTCCAGTATTGTTCCCATTTTATAGATGAGAAAATTGAGGCACAGAGCAAGTTATAAGCCTACATGGCTCACCCAAGTTTGTACTGCTAATATGTGGTGGAGTTGGGATTCAAATCCAGGCAGTATGCTTCAAAGGGGCAGATGTCTATCCATCCTATACTCTGAAATATTGGGTGTGGCAAAAGTAGGTTTGCAGTTGTTCGTATGGAAAACAATACAATAATTAGTACATAGTAATACAAAAATAAACTCTGTGTTTTACGTATGCACAACTGTAAACCTACTTTTGCCCAACCTGAAGGAGTGGCTGTAATGGTGGAGATCTCAGACTTGGTGGAGCATGACAGGGGACAGAATTCTGGTCTTGGAGGCCTGTCCTGGAAGCACACTCAACTCTGCTATTTGAACCCTGCACTTCCTGGTGGCTCCTCTGTGAGACCGACCATTTCTGCCACTTAGATGAAGTAAATGAGAGAAGATAGTCCCCTGCTTATGCTTGTGGCATTTTTGTAAATTATCCAAGGCCTCCAAGGTTTGGCGTCAATGTTTCAGTGGCCCTTGTATGTATTGAGTTCACTTGAATATTTTTCCAACTCGAATGAGCAGAACCGCTGACATCGCAACTTGAAGCACTTTTGGTTGTATTTGGTATCGCCCCTCATTGTCATTTGTTCTCTTTCTGGAGGTCAAAAAATAGAGCCTGTGACTTTATTGGCACTGAGTCTGTCACTGTCATCTGTGCATTCTGTGGCCTTGGGGAAACCACCCTCCTTCTCTGCTTTCACCTGTCAGTTAATGCAGATGTGGGCAGTCACTCACAATTGGTCTGCTAAAGAGCATAATCCCTTTGATGTCCAGGCTGGTAGAGAGGACAAGGAGGACCTCAAGCTGGGCACAGGCTCCCCAAAGAAGACATTGTCCCTGGGCCAGCTCTTGCAGTGGGTAACAAGCGGTGCCTACAAACAGCAGGGAAAGGGAGAGGGAAGGAGCATTGCAACAGGTTCCACTGCCACTGGTAATGGTTTTGCACGCTGTCTTCAGCATCCTGCTATAGGTTGCCAATCCCTTGAAGAAAAATAATCCTGCCTGTTCCCACCAAGACAGCGAGGGGATCAGGGTCAAATGCCTTCTGGGTGCCCTAGGGCCCTGAAGTCACAGCTCTGTATTACCGATCACAGGGTGATTCCCATGCTTTTGGAAGTTTGGCTGCTCCCCCTTTAAGGCACAAGGAAAAATCTGCCCCAGTTTGGCCAAACATTCCAGTTGGCAAGCTGAAATCATCAGAAGTTCTGTGCTTGGGTCCCCTGGCAGTCAGTTTGGCAAGAGCGGGCTGGGAAGAATAGTCACTTGATTTGTTTCCTGTCTGCCAGATGCTCAGAGCTGCAGGAAATCCACGCGGATGCAATAAGTCAACACGGTTTCATTCATCGAGATCCAAAGGGAGGACACACTCCTTCCAAACACAGATAGGGTCCACATGCCTAATCTAGCCAGTAGGGTATGCTCCACATTTCTCCACACTTTTTAAAGTATAGTTAAATGTCAAGTTTGCTTCATGTACCTCCTTCTGTGTTCATATAGCATGTGTTTCTTCAGGGCTCTTGGGGACTGAAGATTTTGTAAAGGAACAGAGCAGACCAAACACACATGCAAATCATTCATATTAATGAGTGAGAAATGAATAAGACAACAGATCGGTGAGGCTTCATTACCAAGACAGGAATTTGACTCCAGGCCGGGTGGCACAAGAAGCCTGCTCTGTATGATGGAACAGGCCAGACCAAACCTGGACTATTGTACTTAGGTTTTGCAGCCCATCTGTAGGATTAACCAGGAGTGAAGGGACACCTGACGAGACATGGCTGAAGGAATTGGGAATGTGTAACTGGAGGAGAAGATTCATGTGGAACATGACAGCTGCCTTTAAAAAACCTAAAGACTGGCTCGTAGGAGAGAGGGAGGAGACTCAAGGCGGAGTGGAGGAGGGAAGTGTGAGCTATGGACTCAGGAACTTCCAGCTGAATTCATGTCTCTGCAATTTATTCAGCCTGCTCTCTTTGGTAAGTCACTTGATTAAGTTTCTTAAGGGA